AAAACATAAAGAAAAGATATATATATAAATATTTCTGTGAAAGATGCCTACATGGGTACAGCAGACAAGATCTATTAGAAGCGCATAAAGAAGACTGTAGAGGTGTTGGACAGACCGCTATCAGGATCGATATGCCTAAAGATGGAAAAAATATATTAAAATTTGAACATTATTGTAATCAAATGCCAGTACCGTACGTGATTTACGCCGACTTCGAAGCGTTTATCAAACCCATAGAAAATACTGAACGCAATACTGATAGTAGTTTTACTTACAAAACTCAAGAACATATTCCTTGTGGGTTTGGATATATAGTTGTAAGATATGATGGGAAAACAAACCCGCCCGTGATTTACAGAGGTCCCGATGCAGCGGGAAAGTTCCTAGAATATCTACAAAATGAAGAGAGAATAATCAGGGAAAATTTATCGCGTAAGAAACCCATGTGTATGACGAGGGATGATTGGAGGGCCTATAAGAAGTCAACGAGTTGTCATGTTTGTAATAAACCCCTGAATGGGGATTCCGTAAGAGATCATTGTCACGTCACGGGTAATTATCGGGGAGCCGCGCATAACGAGTGTAACTTGAAACTAAAAATGAATTCTCAAACAATACCCATCCCCGTTGTGTTTCATAACCTTAGGGGATACGATTCTCATCTCATCATGCAAGCTATCTCAAAGACCGACGGCGGTTTAACATGCATTCCTAATAATATGGAAAAATACATATCGTTCTCGTTGACTAAACCTATACATTATAGGGACAAGGATGGGAAATCTAGAATAAAGCAAAGTAATGGGCTTAGAGTCATAGACTCCGTACAGTTTCTGTTATCTTCCCTGGACAATTAAGCTAATGCGAACAATCCCGATGACTTTGCGATAACAAATCAATATACCGATAAGATAACTCGTCATTTGTTGCTGAGAAAAGGTGTATATCCTTACGAATATATGGATGATTGGTCTAGATTTGAAGAAACTGAATTACCACCCCTCGAATCATTCTATAGTAACTTAACAGAATCTAAAATAAAAGATGCCGATTTATGAACACGTTCTGACGGTCTGGGATAAATTAGGTTGTAAGAATTTAGGCGATTATCACGATCTGTACTTAAAAACCGATGTACTATTACTCGCCGATATATTCGAGATATTTAGAAAGACATGTTTAAAACAATACGGCTTGGACCCGGCATGGTACTATTCAAGTCCCGGACTATCGTGGGATGCATTGTTGAAGAAGACCGGCGTAGAACTAAAACTACTCAGATTACGATATGCACTTGTTTATTGAGAAAGGATTAAGAGGTGGTATATCGATGGCAGCGAAAAGGTATTCTAAGGCTAATAATAAATTAGTGGAAGGATACGATCCGAGTAAACCCGACACGCACATATTATATCTCGACGCTAACAATTTGTATGGATGGGCTATGAGTCAACCTTTACCCACGGGTGGTTTTGAGTGGGTCGATGATATCAAAGTGAATGATGCGAAAAAAGGGTACATAGAAGATGACTTGGAATATCCAAATTCGTTACATAAAGACCATAACAGTTATCCGCTAGCTCCCGAAAGATTAATTGTTAATAAAGATTGGATGTCGGAATATCAACGCTCCTTGATGGGTAATAGTAGGTTAGCTAACGTAGAAAAACTTGTACCAAATTTGATGGATAAGACAAAATATATAGTTCACTACAGAAATCTCCAGTTGTATCTATCGTTAGGTATGAAACTTAAGAAAATACACAGAGTTCTAAAGTTCGATCAAAGCTCTTGGATGGAGCCCTATATAAGGCTGAACACAGATTTAAGAAAGATGGCTACCAGCGATATCGACGAGAACCTATATAAGCTCATGATTAACTCAGTATTTGGTAAAACTATGGAGAATCTAAGGAAGCGTGTTGATGTTAAATTAGTCAGATCTAATGAGGAAGAAAGACTCAGGAAACTTATAGCCAGTCCGGCTTTTAACAGAAGCAAGATATTCGATAACGACTTAGCCGCGTTGCATATGCAGAAGAGTAACATAAAATTCAACAGACCGGTGAAAGTTGGTATGAGTATTCTCGACCTGTCAAAACACTTAATGTATGACTTTTATTACAACGAACTTAAGAAGCAATATGGCGATAGATGCGAGGTGTTATATACCGACACAGATTCTTTGTTGATGGAAATACAAACCAAGGATGTGTATAAAGATATGGCAGAAAAAATAGATATGTACGACACGAGCGATTACCCAAAAGATAATCCACTGCACAGCGTAGTAAATATAAAGGTGTTAGGTAAGATGAAGGATGAATGTGCTGGGACCCCTATAGCGGAGTATGTCGGATTAAGGCCTAAGATGTATTCTATAATGAAGTCCGATAATGGGGAGATAAGAAAAGCCAAGGGTGTTAAAAAGTATGTGGTAAAAAAGCATATCAAACAAGAACAGTATAAAGAATCATTATTCAATGGTAGAACATTCAAACACGAGATGAACTCTTTAAGAAGTTACAATCATAGGATATATGGATTAAGAACGAACAAGACATCATTATCCCCCTTAGATACAAAGAGATGGATTGATAATGATGGTGTAACTACCTATGCTTATGGTTATCGTGGTAATACCATACCGTCGGGAACTATGAACAACTCTTCTCGTACAAATGCCCTACCCGGTCCATCTTGAAGGTAATAAAGAATAGGCTCTCCTTCTTTCGTAACCAATCGACTAATGTTATATGTCTTAAGGGACCATATGGGATCGGTTGCGCGACGTAGGCCTCCTTCAAGTTCACGGGGCTGGTATAAATATCTTACCCTTACTCTATCCGGAAGTTTTCGTTCTTTGCCTCTCCTCGGTGCTGAAGATTCGGAAGTCACGGATTTCATTTTAATAGCATCGGATGGTTTCTTCCCTATTAATCTCATTACTTTATTATTCAGCGCTGATACAACGGCTGATAATCGTGTCACCCATTCGGTTGATCTCAATCGCTCGGATTTCATTTTGATCCCATACTGATATCCAAACAAACATTCCGCTAATGTCCGGTTAAATCTTTCGACGATAACTTGACTACGGTGGGCCTCTCTTTCACCACGCCTGATTTCGACATCGTGCTTTGTAACAGTTTAGTTATCGATCCCATAAATTCACAACCGGGATCTACTTGAAATAACTTAGGCCATTTTAGTGGCCCGCGTTTATATATGCGGCTCAGTGCATTAGCTACTTCTGTTGATTCTTTCGAGGTTAATGGCTCAGCCTCTTTGTATCGACTAGCCACATCCACTACTGTTAAAGCGTATTTATACGTTTTGCGTTTTACCTTATCGTGGGAAGGAACAAGAGGTCAGCCTGATGAACTTCGTTCGTTGTAAAAATATCAAACTTCTTCCTCGGTATATAACGCGGTGCCGGTAAATATATTTGCCACATCGCTTGTTTCTTTAACCAATCCTTGGCCACATCTTTAGATACCTTAGCCGCGGTGGCTAATTTTTGTATTGCTCCTACGCCGTGGGCTATAGTAAATTTTATTCATTATTAATTAATATTGATGTTTCTTTTAATACGACTCATGACTATCGTTGAATTGCATAATCATTTTGGCATAAAAAATTCCATCTGTAGTAGCGGTATAGGTATATAAATCCAGCTCCAGTGGAGTTGCGGCAAAACCCCCATTACCTATACTACTTTGCGTCTGTCTGGACTTGCAGGTGTGATCAGTGATGACAAGTGAATAGAACTGTTGTCTTGACCCCAGTAGTGACAATTAACAGGATGCAATTTGTGTTTGAATGACATTGTTTATATACTTGTTACAAGTGCTTCTCAATAAACAGTGATGTGGAATACATAGTTTCAGCGTATGTCTAAGTTGGTATTTCTGCTAAAAATGTTTTACTGTTGATATAAATGTGATGTTTAATAATGCGAGCAAAGACCACTCGCATTAATTTCAAGACTTACAGTACTGTAGTGATCTATACTCACTGGGGCCACATTACGACTGAGATTTGTTGATGCGCTAAAGCATATCGTTGTTATTGTATTCAATGAAATGGTCACGCTTTGTTGTTGTTTGTGTGAGCAAAATGGCGAACATGTAAATTTCGAGAAAAGTTCGTATTTTGACTTTCAATAACGGCCACTAAATATCAATAAAAGTCCTTGGTTACCAAGTTGTGTGCAAAGCAGATATGTCAAAAAGTGGCTTAGTGGCATAAATAAATCTGTGGCAGTCGCGTTATGTCTGATTTTGACTGCGGAAATGACACTAAATCTGACTTTTCCCGAAATAATTACACCACAACACTTAATTTTCGCATGCGTTCAGACTAATGTTTTTTCTATAAGCGGTACTGAAATAAATATGTTTAAATTTGTCACGATTTCCTCCTTGGCGTGGTACCACCCATATTTTGCTACCATTGGTATTTATTTTTTTATGATTTTTGGCGCTAACCCACATTTTCGTCATATTCAAAGTTTAGTGTACCCTAAAGCAGACGACATAACACCCCTTTTGTCTGTGATTTTGGTACAAATATATTTTTAAAGGCATTGTAATAATTTTCTATTTTTGTATTGATATCAGAATATATTTTGTAAGATCCATATTAAGTTTTTGACGATTTGTTCAGCCATTTCATTGTAAGTCTAACATTACTATTAACTTTTTTTACTTTAATGGGTCTCTTGAACCAAACCTGCTGAAGAAAACTTTGGATAATTAGTCAATGATTATATTTTTATTTAGAAAAAGTCTTTGTTTAATTTTTGTTTTATTAAAATATTTTGTATGTATTCTCCCTAATAAATTCTAAATAAACATTATGAGTTATATGACCTGGACAATCATTAATTATGTAAATATGATTAAGGAACTACACATTTTGTGTATTTAGACAACAATAAAATCATCATCCAACATTGTTTTCATTGTATGCAATAAATATATACATTCCTCTCTCTTCTCTCTGCGGTTGGGTAGCCTGGTAGTTAAAGCGTTCGCTCGTCACGCCAAAGACCCGGGTTCGATTCCCGACTTGACTTAGATAATTTTGTTGATGGCATCCTGCAGTGCCGAAAATACCAACTGTTCTTATCATTGAAAGAAGGAACTATTCAGGCATGCTGATGAGCTTGGCGAATTCACCATTTTGAGAAACAAGCGAGAGGAAGTGAAGTTGATGCAGTGTTATGATGGTGATGTTGCAGCAGTTCAACTTTCAGTGGTCATTAGGCCTTCTTTTGAAGCCACAGTTTATGCTCATCGACATGATATTGGTCATGATCATGAATTGTGGATTGGTTTGCCAAAATACTTCACAACTGTAAGAGACGTTATGCAACTTTTGTCTAAACTGTCAACATACCATGTTTGTTTTGGAAATTACAAGGACAGGTTTGCTCACTTGATTCCAGTTGGTGCAGGAATTAGTGAAGGAGCTACTTCAACTATATCTGCATACAGAGAAGGAGACTTTGGTGCCAACATAGATGGAATAGCGTATAGTTCCACAATCCGTTCATTGATGTGTCAGTTTCTGATTTCACGGAGAGACAGATGTGGTCCTTGCAGCAGATACAGAGCCACACTCCGAGCTAATGCTAGAAGAGAGAGTCTGTCCCCGAAAACCCCTAAACTAACTTCATTTACTCATACTACCCACAAGAACATGTCAAAGATGGAAGTCATCCAGAAGTATGAACTGATGAAAAGCAGCCGCAATTCCATTCAGTCTGAAATGGAGCGTTTGAAGAGAACAATAAGCCAGACAATTTCCCAGAAAGGTCTTACGCTAAGTGTTTCAAGCGACTGATTTTTCGCAATTATTGAAAGACTACCAAGATGAAGTAATGCACGATTACCCTGATGAGACATCTATTCAGAGACTTTTTTTGGGAGCAACAAATGAAATACAATAAAATTAAAGACAAGCGGGCAATGCGATGGCATCAGATGGTAATCAAATGGTGTCTTTACATGTGTAGTAGGAGTCGGAAGGCCTATGAAGTTGCTGGAAAATCTGGATTCATCGCTTTACCGAGCAAGAGGACATTGTATGATTATTCACATGCCATTCCAAGTTCACTTGGCTTTCATCCCAGCTATTCAAAACATTTAAAGGAAGAAGCGAAGTCACTTGGAATGCTTGACATTGAAGAAAGATTGTACGTTGGCATACTTCAAGATGAAGTTAAGGTTTCTGAAGGCCTCGTATATGACAAACACTCGGGTGAACTTGTTGGATATGTGGATTTAGACAGGACTGGTAACGATTTGCTCTGTTTAGAGGAGTCAATAACTGGCGGCAAACCAAAACTGGCTAATACCATGTTGGTCCTCATGATCCGTGGTATCATTACAGATTTGAAGTATCAATATGCAGCCTTTGCCACGAGGGGTATAACAGCAGACTATTTATATCCCATACTTTGGACAGCTGTTCTAAATTTAGAAAGCATTGGACTGAAGCCGCTGTTTATTACATGTGATGGAGCTCCATCAAATCGCAAGTTTTTCAGCCTACATGAAGTGCCCGAATTGAATAATTTTTTCTGGACATGGAATCGATACAGTCATCCACACAGGAAGATTTACTTTATATCTGATGTTCCTCATCTTATTAAAACCACAAGAAACTGTTTTGTTAATTCCGGATCTCACAAGAAGACCAGAGAGCTGTGGAAAGATGGCCGTGATGTTAGTTGGCTTCATATGTTGAAGTTTTATGAAGAACATGTGGAAAATGAATTGTTTTGTAAAACCTACAAGCTTACAAGAGATCACATTGACTTGTCACCATATTCAACAATGAAAGTTAACTTGGCTGCACAAATATTTAGTAGTTCAGTGGGAAATGCTCTTGAGGACTAATATGGGGACCCAGTCCAAGAAACTGTGAATCTTATCAGACACATGAACCGTTTTTTTTTTATTGTCTTAACACGCAGAGTTTGCAAGAAGGAATCATAGCCCGGAACAGTGACAAGAAGGAGTATCGAAGCATTAATGATCACAGACTGCATTATCTTCTCAATGAATTCTTGGATTTTTTCAAAGCCTGGGAGGATAGTGTCATGAGACAACATGGGCAGTTTACCTTATCACAAAGGAAGCGTATGATGCTCAGTCATCAAACTCTCAAAGGACTAAAAATATCTGTGAATTCCATTGTAGAATGTGTGCGATTCATGCTCACAGCCGGTGCAGAATCTGTATTCACCGACCGATTCAACCAAGACCCTCTAGAAGAACAATTTGGACAATATCGACACAAAGGAGGCTCAAATGAAAATCCCTCAGTTTATGCTGTTAAAACATGCCTTTTCACAGATGAAGGTCCTCGCTTCCTCTGCGCTCCAACCTATACGTGGCAACATTTCGAACAAGAGGCCACAACAAACCTTGACTTTTGATAATGCGGCTCACCCTAGGCGTAAACAGAGGCGTGTATAGTGTACTCATTGGGGAGTAGTAGAAAAACTTGTTAATGAGTTTAGATAATAGAAAATTAGAGAAACGTGTAGTTAATATCCCTGAATTTGTTCCGATTGATTTCAGTGCCCACAAAACTTTTCAATGCACATGTTTTTGTATTGAGTGTACCACTCACATGTATTGTAAGAATATTGTAACTTAAACATGTTTAAGACTATTAACACAAGACAAACACAACAGTAGACTGGGGAGGTTGAATGACTGCATATGAATGATATGATGACAATTTATTATCTTGTTGAACATACTGATTTTGATTGACTGCCATGACCCATCTTCAATGATAGATTCTTGTAACATGTTATGTTTGTTTTTTAACGCGACTGAGCAATATTCCAGCTAAATGATCGTGGTCTGTTAATAATCAAATCTGGACCAGACAACCAAGTGATCATGAGCACCTGATCCCATTAGTCGCCTCTTATGACTCGATGACTGTCACTGTTCATAAGAAGTGTACACATTCTCAAGTTGATGGTCAATGGAAATTGTCTCTGGGTTTCAAGGCTTTTCTCAGTGACTGGCTCTTTTTGCCCTCGTTAGTTTTTCTCTCTATCTTTTTCTCTTTTTGCTGTTGGCGCTTCAGGAACTTGGCAACAGCCCCGCCACGCACATTTAGGAACAAAGTGATTAGAAATTCTAACAATTTTAGTTTCAATTCTTCTTCACAAACAACTTACTTGCCCCAGTAAAAGAGTACCATATGGTTGGTTATAATAACTTCCTTCAATTTGTCACAGAGAAGGGAGTACAAATTAAGGTGGGAGAGATTTACTTGACTTCGGACAGCAATTTCAATTGACCGCACAAGGAAAAAAGCAATTGTCACTAGGAAGAGTAAGGCCACCCCTGTTGATTTTTTCAGCCCATTTTGAAAATCTGCTGATGTAGCTTTCTTTTGACTCTGTTGATGTGCGAAGATTGTCGATGACAGTCTCGATGTTGTTGTCGCTGATTGTCTTCTTTTTTAGCAAAGCATGGACAAAATGTACCCTGAGATGTAATATACAACTGTCTGGTCATTTTCCCTGATATGGTTGGCTTGCTTCTCATCAGCTGTCTTCATGGAATCTGATAGAACTTGAAGGAGGGTTTGAATAATCCGATCTAGCAAACACTGAGTGAAGATGTGTATTATCCTGATTGGTTGGCTGCTGACTTCCTCTATACAGGTGCACATGCTTGAAAGGAAATCTTCCTCCAGGCACAACTGGTGATAACTGCTCCAGAGCGCCTCTCGGTCACTTGACAGCGAGCTCCCGTGGCCGAACCCCTTGAAAACTTTATGGAACTTTGGTGTCACAATATCAATTAAATCATCAGTGGTATCTGCATCTTCATCAAGGGACTTGGCAACTTGGATCAGATCTTGACCAATCGTTGAACCTGACTGCAATGCATCCATCATTGGGTCGCAAATGATCAATTTCAGTGCCTTTGGTACTCCATTCTTTAATGTGTCCTTCATTTCAGTTATATTTGCAAGTGGCATAGACATTGTACTGTGTTTTTCATCCGATTTGGAGATGGGTGTCACAAATCAAAAGTAGAACTAAGGATATACAGCACACATTATTACAAACGAAAAAGAAAAATACTTTAGGTTGATTACATTTATTACAGTCAATAATATTCACATCCGGTTAAGTCAGCATAGTTCACAAAATCAGGTTGAGTCAGCATAGTTCACAAAAATCAGGTTAAGCCAGCATAGTTCACAACATCAGGTTAATTCAGCATAGTTCACAAAAATCAGGTTAAGTCAGCATAGTTCACAACATCAGGTTAAGCCAGCATAGTTCACAACATCAGGTTTCCCATTCAAAGGTCGGTGATGGATGTACCAATTTAGGGATCGCAAGTAGGAGCAATCACACTAAGGCCTGCAATCATGAAAAATGCCTAACTACTATGTGACAACTATCATGTATTTTCAATACCAGAAGTTAAGAACATTGAAAATAACATATATAACAAGCTATATTTCCATGATGGGCAATCCTTTTGAAAAAGCAAACTTTATTTATAATTAAACACGAAGTAACTATTCCACACATTTATCCTTGAAATAACACAACATTATACTCACAAAAGCCTTTCTCCTGGCCAGGTCTCACGACAGTGAAAGATCAACTGTGTCTTAACACTGCTAAGACATGGCTTTATATAATCAAGTCAGCGACAAAACGCATGCTTTTCACATGTCAAAATGGTGTGTTTGGGCGCCCTGTTCCAGTATTAAGGATGACATCTACCCCTACCAAAATACATCCCAAAAGTAATGATAAAAGAGCACACGATGTGACAATGGGTGGCTTGCCTGTCGTAGCGCTTGCTTGCCTATGCTCATGGGCTGAAATCATTAAGATATTTACCAAATGAAATCATATACTCTTTTTAAATGTGTAGAAATTACCTAGAGGATAGGCAAAATCCCATGTAAAAAATCATCACTTATTTATTATTGTATATTTAAAATATTTAGATCTAGTGAAATTATTTTTACTTTTGTATTTTAATTTGCATTTCAAATCCTGAAGCAACAACTGAAAACTATTTTGTGTTGCACCAAGTTACCAAGATCAAGTTTTAATTAATTTCAAAAATTATTTTATTCTGTAGTTTTGTTATACTGGAATTACAATTTTGTCTTTCATACTTTGATGTATATGTTTTAGTTGTGGCTAAATCCAAATTAATGGTGTATAAAATATAAAATATCATTTATACATCTATTGTCAATTTTTATAACAAATATATATTCATATCAGAACTTATGGTATTTTGTTTTGTTTTAATAATAGTAGTTGCATGTCTTGTGCCAAGTTGAAGTTTAACTTGGTATTTGATTGATCAGATGTAAACAGAAAACTTAATTAGCACAGTTTAGAATATTACAACAGTTACTCCTGGATACGATATTTATATCTCATACTACGCTTGTTGCTGCTGCACTGTTTCACACGCCAGACCGAATTATTTGGATGCTGAACTTGGAACTTTTCCGATCAGGTAGTATAAAATAACCATCATGAAATTACAATCGTCTTGACTTTAGAATTTAAGAGTAACCTCCCTTTGAAAAACTGTCGCGTTACGGCCAACAGCATTATCACTGCTAGCCCCAAACTTGCATTATCTAATAATATTGGATAAACAGCAAAGCGCATTATCGGTCACATTGAAAATTCGCTCAACAACGCTCGGAGATATGTGAAATTATAATTTCTTTGGAAATATTGCCTATTAGCAGAGACCATGTAACAGATTAATATATGGTCTCTGCTATTGGCTATTTACAAGACTTCTTTCATGGGAATTTAGAAGTTGGAGTACTAAGTAAGGATAGGAATTTATGGATGAACAACTTTACAAGACATAAAAAATATACTGGGAATTAATAGCGTCTTTTTACTGGCTGATAGTAATTTTAAAAGCAATTACACGAGCCCTATTCCCGAGAATAGGTTTATTTGCCAAACAGTCTGGTCTGTATATTTATTAAATAATTTGAACATAATTTTAGATACATTTTGAATGTTATTGTTTCGTAACATCGAGAATATTGTGACCTGATAAAACTGTCTTGCTGGCGACTGTTTTTGTTTATTTACACCTGCGTAATTTCCCGGATCGTATTTATCAGTGACATCCGTAGATGATTTTGTAACTTTGATTTTTGATAATAGTTATACAATTGTAACATAAAATAACATAAATATACTGATTTTTGGAAATAAAATAGATCTAAATTATAATACCTTTGATATCGGATCGGTTGTTCTTCTTCTTCACGTGCCCCCGAAAACCTACAATTGTTTTGTAGGATTTGGAACACTCGGGACACTCGTAGACAGCCGTCGTATTTTCTTTTCCAATTGTTTTCTTTGATTGAAACCTTTTGGGAGATTTTACCAACGGTTTGGTACTGGTAACATCACTGTCATTCTCTTCAGACCAAGAATCATCCGAAACCAACCCCTGGTCATAGTGTGTGAATTCTCCAAGTAAAATATCGAGGTCCAAGTTGGAATCGTCCCAGTGAATGAAGTCGTCCATGGCTATGCCGAATGTTAATTGAAATAAATGTATCGGGCTTATAAAGACATGCATTTCCCGGAAGACACACATGTTTAGCAGTAATTTGCAGCCAATTGACATGTGCTAATGAGAGATAAGATAAAGATTATTGTAATCTGTTTAGGGTCGTCGTTTTATTGGATTGTCGCTGGTCGCAGTTGGAGAAGTGTAGTGTAGTGATCTATACTCACTGGGGCCACATAGTGTAGTGATCTATACAAACTCTAAAAAACATGAATTTGAACGGCACTGCATGGCCTGTTTCAATCACAGCTGACGAACAATAATTTCTGTCGTGTATTATGAATTCCCACCATTTCCAGCACCGCATATTATGATATCACACAATGACGTCAGATCGATCGTGCATGAGACAGGCAATCACCTTGTCGCCTTGGCCTGGGGCATTCATAAATGTAGCCTATCTTCTGTGCTCTCATACATAACAACTACCAAAACAGGAAATTCCCTATAGAGGGAGCACTACGCTTTGTTGACTAGCAGTTTTTTATAGTTGACAACTCAACTAGTGCCTGCAGCAGACTGTGACTGAGAAAAGCAGGGTGTTCACCATTTGTATATGGTAATGATAAATTCTGTCATTCATGACGGTGAGCAGGAAAACTTTCAGTACTTACCACAAGTGTTTCCAGGCCAAAGTTTTTCTTTAATCCCAAAGCTAGTTTCAATGCAGCTTGACTATTGATGCGATTGTTACTGAAAATGTCAAATTCAATTAAGACAGTAAGGAACTAATGCTGATTATTAACAAGATTTCTTTTGCTTTATTGGAGGTCTCACTTATTATCCAGATAGGACTCTAGTTCAAATAACCAGTCCAGAAAATAGTGCAATACCAAACCCTGACCGGCTATATATTTTGACAAAGGGACAACTTTTTATCACACAGAACCTCTGTTACATTTATGGGACCCGTTGATTCCCAGGGTACAAGGGCTGGTCAAAAAGTTCTAAGCCTGACCAACGTTCAACTATGGGCCATAACAAAGTGAACAAGTCAATGTAATACATTGTTTGAATAGTTCATTGCTAGTGTATCTGGTCTGTTGAGGCCGTTTGCATATTAATGACAGCCATTTGAATGTGATAGGGGTAAAAATGGACACAGAAATTGAAAAGAACGAGCACTGAACAGTCATCAAGTTTTTGACTCCCAAAGAAATTCATGACCATGTGTCACAAGTGTATGGGGATAAATGCCCTAGCTATTCCACTGTTAAACATTGGGCAGCTACGGTATGTTTAAGCCTGGGAGAACAAGCCATGATGATGACCCTAGGTCTGGATGTCCCTCATCTTCCATCAGTAAAGATTCAATCAGGTAGATAGAAAAAGTTATATTGTCAGACAGATGTTATTACCATTTGTGAACGTGAGGAAGACACAGGTCTAAGCCATGGATCCATTGAAACATTTTCATGAACATTTACAGATGAATAAAATATTTTAAGTTTCTAAATTCTGATATGAAGGACAAAAAGAACTAACACTGCCAGATATCAAAAAGATATTAGAAACGGGTGATGAAACATGGGTCTACCACTATGATCGCATGTCAAAACCAAATGGCACCATTCCACTTCTCCAGCACCAAAGAAATTCAAGTCTTCAAGATGAGTGAAGAAAGTTATGGAAACTGTATTCTGGGATGCAAAGGGTGTGATCTTTGTTGATTAATTAGAAAGTAAAAAGAGGATTACTTTGCTTATTTGCTTCATCAGCTGTGAGATTCTATCAAAGAAAAGTGGTGAGGAATGATAACTGCTGGAGTTCTACTACTTCATGAGTCATGACAATGCCTCTTCTCACACCTCTCAACTTGCAAAGTATGCTGTGCAACAATATGGGTTCCTCACCCTCCATACTCGCCACACCTGGCACCAAGTGATTTCCACCTGTTTCCTAAACTGAAAGAACACCTTCATGGAAAGTGCTATGATGACAACAATGACCTCAAAGCTGCCATGAATGGGGTTTTTAGGATGGCTTCAGAAAACTTCATCCTGACTGGAATTGAAAAGCTTTACTATCGATATGAGAAGTTTTTTGAAAAGCAGGTATATTATGTTGAAAAATAAAATTAAAAACACTTTCACAATTGTTGGTTTTGTTTGTTAGGCTCAGAACTTTTTAACATTTATTGTAATCTTGTTGACATGGCACGAGATCATCAAATACATGTACAAGACAAAGTCATCAATATCCCCACCCTTTTAAAACGTACATAAAACCACAAGTGGTGTAACGATATGGCGATACAGTATTGTATAGTGATACGGGGCCCAGAAAGTTATATTGGTGTAAAATATGTGAATAGTAACAGAAAATGTCCAACCACCAGCTTTCACAGATTCTCTAGTATTTCATGGTGATTCCTTCTATTCTTTAAATGCTAAACCTTTCAATAAAAAGACAGATATTTTCACTTGACAACAATGTTTGTTACATTTAATATTTTCAAAACTCTAAATAATAATCAGCTACAAAGTGGACAAAAAATAAACAATGCCTGAATTGATGTATGGTGCTGTGCTTGCTTTTTAATTAACACTGCATTATAAGCACCATCACACTTTGTCAATAAAAAGTCACATAATCAACCAAGTAACCAGGCCTGACCACACAATCCAAAATCATCTCTCAAAACAAGAATATGTTGCTGAGAACAAATTGTAATCCAATTGTTTGATGTGCTTACAAATTTTTATAAAGAAATACCAGTACTGAATGGTTTATGAATAATGCTCCGCAATATGAAACCCTTATTTGAACCTAAATCCAACTTATTATTGCCTAATAAAATGCAAAATCTAAATATCTAAAAATACCTTAATAGCAAAAAGAAGCAGTTCAGCAATTGCCTCATATCTATACAAAGTTTCACAAAGAAATGAGAAACAATTTAGGAGTTATGCTCAGGAAAAAGACCAATTTGTTGCCGAGGAAACAAATCCTAAGTATCAAATTGCACCATTTCAATCCATGCCAGATGTTAAACAAAGTTTCAAGAAGAAAATGATTGGTTTAAGAGTTAGACACATGGAACTTTAAGTGATGGATGGAGACCATTTCTACATGATGCAAACTTCGTTTTTGGCAGGGGATTTGGCATTTTACAAATAATTTTTTTTAATCATTCTCAAACTTTTACAAGTTTACAATTAACTCAAACTACACATAAAAGCAAACATTTACAGATGAACACATAAGCATGCACATAATTTGTTATTTATACATTCATCATCAACCTCGGGCATAACTATTCATTACAAACAACTAAATAATACAAACAAATACAAACACATAACTACACTAACTTTGTTCCTTTGTTAAAAAATTACCTGTACCATCTTCTTGTCTGATACTTCATCAATAGAGGTTATCACACGAGTGTTTGAGGAAGGTAAATATCCTGTATTAGGAATAAACATTGTACTTAGCAAGCCTTGGCGAGTGATGCCAGGTATTATAGTTGACAAATACCGTATTCAACATAATAAGCAGTGATATAGGCAATGGTGATTCTACCACAACTCCACCTGGGCCAGATTTATACCCCAATACCTTTACTACAGAGGTAATTTTTTATGCAAAACCACCGATGCACACCAATAATCGACTAAGCTAAATTGTAATGAAAAGGGCTCTAGCTCACCACCACCTGACCCATTCCCAAACCCTATCAATGCTTCTATGATATAAATTTTTATAGGCAATGGGGGTTCTAGCTCACTTCCACTAGAGCCAGATTTATACCCAATACCTATACTACAGAGAGAATATTTTATGTAAAAACCATGATGCGAACAAATAATCGTCATGCGTCGTTACATCAATATTAATTAATAATGGATAAAATTTACTATAGCCCACGAGGATATTGGAAAGGTATAGGAGCAATACAAAAATTAGCCACTGTAGCTAAGGTATCTAAAGATGTAGCCAAGGATTGGCTAAAGAAACAAGCGATGTGGCAAATATACTTACCGGCACCGCATTATATACCGAGGAAGAAGTTTGATATTTTTACAACGAACGAAGTTCATCAGGCTGACCTCTTGTTTCTTCCCCAAGATAAGGTAAGACGCAAAACGTATGAATATGCTTTAACTGTAGTGGATGTAGTTAGTCACTACAAGGAGGCTGAGCCATTAACCTCGAAAGATTCAACTGAAGTAGCTAATGCACTCATCCGCATATATAAATGCGGACCATTAAAATGGCCTAAGTTATTTCAAGTAGATGCCGGTCGCGAGTTTATGGGATCAGTAACTAAACTATTAACAAAGCATGATGTCACAAGAAGGCGTGGCGAAAAAGAAGCCCACCGTAGCCAAGCTATTGTTGAAAGATTTAACCGGACATTAGCGGAACGTTTGTTTGGATATCAGTATGGGATTGAAATGAAATCAGATAAATTATGATCAACCGAATGGGTGACAGGATTATCAGCTGTTGTATCAGCGCTGAATAATGAATTAACGAGATTAATCGGGAAGAAACCATCCGATGCGATTAAAATTTAATCTGTGACTTCTGAATCTTCAGCACCGAGGAGAGGCAAAGAAAAAATATTTCCGGATAGAGTAAGCGTAAGATATTTATACCAGCCCGTTGAACTTGAAGAAGGCCAACGTCATGCCACTGATCCAATCTGGTCCCTTAAGATATATAACATTAGTCAGTTGGTTATGAAAGCCAGGTGAGCAGGTGAGCAGGTGAGCCTATATCTTTAAGATGGACCGGGCAGGGGATTTGTGCGAGAAGAGTTGCTCATAGTTCCCAGCGATACGGTATTACCGCCATTACCATAAGCATAGGTAGTTACACCATCCTTGTCAATCCATGTCTTTCTTTGTATCTAAGGGGGATAATGATGTCTTGTTCATTCTTAATCCATATATCCTGTGATTGTCACTTCTTAAAGCGTTCATCTCGTGTTTGAATGTTCTACCATCGAATAATGCTTCTTTATACTGTTTGTGTTTGATATGCTTTTTTACCACATACTTCTTAATGCCTCCTCATAGGAGTTCCAGCACATTGATCCTTCATCTAACCTTACACCTATTTATTTACTGTGCTGTGTAGTCGATTATCTTATGGGTAATCGCTCATGTCGTACATATGTTTTTTTCTGCCATGTCTTTATACTCCTCAGTTTGTATTTCCATTAACAAAGAATCTGTATCGGTATATAACGTCTCGCATCTATCACCATATTGCTTCTTAAGTTCATTGTAATAAAAGTCATACATTAAGTGTTTTGACAATTCAAGAATACTCATACCAACGTACACTAGTCTGTTGAATTTTATATTACTCTTCTGCATATGTAATGTTGCTAAGTCATTATCAAATATCTTGCTTCTGTTAAAAGCCGGACTGGCTATAAGTTTCCTGAGTCTTTCTTCCTCATTAGATCTGACTAATTAAACATCAACACGCTTCCTTAGATTCTCCATAGTTTTACCAAATACTGAGTTAATCATGAGCTTATATAGGTTCTCGTCGAAATTGCTGGTAGCCATCTTTCTTAAATCTGTGTTCAGCCTTATATAGGGCTCCATCCAAGGGCTTTGATCGAACTTTAGAACTCTGTGTATTTTCTTAAGTTTCATACCTAACGATAGATATAACTGGAGATTTCTGTAGTAAACTATATATTTTGTCTTATCCATCAAATTTGGTACGAG